CAGCTACAAATTCAAAGTGGAACGTAAGCATATAAAGTTTGGTGGGGAGAAAAAAAATGTGGAGAAAAGATGTGGCATGCACCGTGTCAAAGCGATAAACGGTTTAGTAATAAATAGTTTTGTCCAGATTGATTTCTCCTGTGCTGTCTTTTTACAGACGTATGTTACCACCTGGAAAAACCAAGCTGATGAGACACACTGACAGAGAGGGGGCAGTAATCTCACACTTCACACTCCCACAAATGCAAAGGAGGGAAAGTCATGGAAAAAAGGAGGGAAGATGGGGACCGAGAAAGGTGGGGAGAGCAATGATTCTCTTGGGAAGGGAGGGTGTTTGGGTGAAAAGCAACAGCATATGTATTGTTGGAGGCCCTGACTCGCCACCCTGGAGAGCTCGCTGTTCCCACGGTTTGCTCAACAAACAAACGCACCCCTCCACCCCAAAACACACACACACACACGCACACACGCACACACACACACACACACACACACACACACACACACACACACACCACCATGCTCTTGCACGCAGTGGTGATGTCATTAATTACCATCAAAATGAGCATGACAGCAAGCAAGTGTGCGTGCGTCCGCCATCGAGGCTTTGTGCATGTTTGTGTGTACGTGTGTCTGTGTGTGTGTGTGGTGAATGTGTGTGTGTGAGGGAGAGCGAGGGAGATGTTGGGAATGAGGAAGAAAGAGACCATTGTCCATTCTGAAATAAAGAAATCTCCACTGAAGCATTGTAAATGGAAAAGGCAGAAAAATGGACCAAATTCTGGGATCTTTGAGCGAGAGCCGGGCTGTCACATCTCGTCAGAGCCTCACAAAACCTGATGTGCACACATTGCCCTGCCTGGATACAGAGACACACTGTGGCCCTGTGCTTGTGTGCTTTCCTGATTAAATTCAAGCCTTTTCCCTCCCAGCCTCACGGGGATCTTGTTTTATGAACATTGTTTGTTTCGCACGTGCTTGTTGTTTGTATTTTCCACAAACAAGCAAAATTAACAGGTTTTAAAGCACAACTGTAGATTTTACAGTAATTTTACTGCATAATGCCACGTTAAGTTCTCACTGGACGAATTTTGCATGAAACCAGCTAATTAGAAAAACCAGTCAGCTTCAGCTTAAAGAACATTTTTCCCCCAAATGGTTCAGTATCTTATTTTTTCACCATATTTGACATCTTTGCAACAATATATGATGAAATATAAGATAAATATGCTTTGGTTGAACATACTCAAATTTGTTATTGCACTCAGGCAACACGTAATTTTCCCATCTTAAAAATTTTGTCTTATTTGTTGTCACAGTTGTCTCTCTCTCTGTCTCTGTGTGTGTGTGTCTATGTGTGTCTTTTTAGTATCTTTGTTTTTTGTATTTTGCATTAAAATGATTAATAAACTTGAACTTGACACACAGTTTTCAGCCTAAGTTAGCAGGACTTTCAGGAATTACTTCCCTATAGCCAGTTTTACTTATTATGAAACAATGTAATTACATTGAGTCTACAGCCATGTTCAAAGCTATGTATGACCGAGTGGTGCGTTGAGCCCAATATTGTCACTAACATCCATATTTTTAACCAGGTTAATGATAATCACTGAAAATATAAATCTTCTATAATAATATAAAGTTAATTTAACAAGCCCAAGATGTGTGTGTGTGTGTGTGTGTCAGTGTTTTTGGCACTACATGCATCATTGTGTGGACCTTCGTTAGAGATCATTTGGTTTTTTGGTGCAGTGGGCCTCACTAAGCTTTGGCTGTGCAGTGAACCAAACCAGGGACTGAGATTACTATTGAATGTGTGGCCATAAATGCACGGGATTCCACCTCATCAAAGTTTGCACAGATAATTGCTACTATTTGATCTCCACTATCTGAAAAGACACCGTGTTAATTAGAGGCTTTGATTGAGACGGGAAGAGAAGAGAAACAAATGTGTGCTTTGTTGTCCTGTAGAAATCTCTCCTCTCAGGGGTTTATGTATCTGCAGAGCTGGAAGGCTTTTGTCGCCAAAAACTTTGATGAGGTCCTTGTTTCAGGACCGGTCCCATCCCTGTCTTTGGGAAAACATCCAACTGCCAACTCATCAAGCATCCCGGAGAGCTAAAACAATGCCCAGCATTGAAGACTTGAGATTGGCAGTTTGAAATCCTTTGCTCTGATCTGTAATACGCCTTTAAACTAATGGAAGCATAGTTATGTCCCCGAGATACATCTTGTTGTTTTCAAAACAGTTGTGACAAAATCACTTTATTTTAAAAAAACAAAACCAGTCACAGAGAGTTTTTATTTATTCTTCTTTGACTTGAACCTGATGTAGAACACCGAGTTTAGTTAATGGGAAACAACCAGTCTGTTTGCTAAATGCATCCATTGAACAAAATCATTGGAGCCTAAGGCAGTCCCCAGAATCATGTGATCACTTATTAGAGACTCTTAAGTGGTGCTTGTAAAGCTGAGAGCTTTCTGAACTGTAACTGAAACAAGTTTGATGGGTTTTTTTTTAACCAATAAGGATGTTTCTATTTTCTTTGATTAACAGTCATGACAGTCATAGCACCAAAAATGTTGGCTCCTCATCCGGTTGATCACTTTAATAAGACCTCCCTGCAGTCTGAAAATGAACTCTATTCAGGGGAAAAAAACAAAGACAAAAAAAATCTCCTCACTCTTTGTCAAATAACAGTTGAAGATGGTTAATCCACATAAATGGCAGCACCTTCATCATCAGCACAATAGTACACCGTTTTCTTTGAAAGCCTTGTTGTCAAGCATTTTATGTTTCATTTCTTTAGTTTCTAATGATGTAAAATGGCCTAAAAAAAACTTGAACCACATATATTTTTAACACTCCATTAAAAAAAATCATCCACACCAGGTATGAATCATGTAGGTTGTACACTATCCCACCCTGTAAACACAGGCATGCACTTAATTCCTGGATTACAATAATAAAAATCATTTTTAAAAAAAGAGATCAATATTTAGCCCTCTTCTTGCTGTTATTACTGGAAACAGAACAACACTTTGTTTGCTGGAAACCTGATTCAATAAGTCAGCCTGAGTAGCGCAGATGCTTCTATATATGATTTATAATAGGAGAAGAGCTTACAATTAAAATTGTGTTCAGATTCTTAATTTAATCTTTCTGGTTGTTTGTTTCTGATTTGTCTTTGTGTTTCGATCGCTCTCTGCTTATAAAGTATCAATTCTCACCATATACTGGATTAATAAATATATTAACACAGCACATGAAAGTAACTCTTGGTTAACAAGCCAAGTCATTTAATTTTTTTTAAAATAAATATTTATCAGTGAATGCATTCGTGCTGATTTCTATTAGGAGCGAAAGTTTGGAGCTGTCCATGCCAGCAGTCGAAGAGATAAACTTCAATTTTAAACAACTAAAACTGTATAAGCTTATATAAAATGTATGTTGCATAAATGTGTGCATTTCATCGCTTAAAGAACTGCAACAGAATAAAGGGAAATCATGAACTCTGGACCCCTACAGTGAGGCCATCGCTCTGCTTTACTGTGGTTGACTTGGTGGGTGTTCTCTCTGAGTGATGAACTTTATGGTGAATCTTCATGCGACTGGTCTCTCACACCATGAAGGCGCAAGTGGTGTGCTGAGTATTAAAACAATGTGAATTATTTAAGCCCTTTGGGAGTTTTTGGACTGGTGTCTTTGACAGTGCTCTTTTACTGCCTGTCAGAATCAGTGCCATACGGAGACATGGACATGACAAGGCCCAGCGGCTTACTAAAACACCTTATGTTGGTTCTTTCTTTCAACATGGAGACTAGCTGAGAGAGGATGCAGAATCACCGTCCACATTTGTATTCAACTATTAATAATAAGCACAGGAAATGTGCACAGGAACTTCGTTATGAGCATAATCATCGAGGTGTTCTCTCTGACAGTGAGGACAGTCAGGATCAGTCAGGATCAGTCAGGGCAGGTTTACTGATTCCTCTGTGAAGCACTTTGTGATTGGTCTTAAAAGACGCTATGAAAAATTTTTACTTACTTAATTACTTTGAGAGATTTTAGTTTTTTGTTGATAATCACAGTGACAACACTCTATGTATCATGATGTCATTGCATAACTGTAGACCTCCACCACACAGTTTAGTTAGTTTAAACTAGCATCAAGAGTTAGGTTTGATCGTGTATGTATATTTGTTCCCACAAGACAAAAATTCAGGCCACTGAGGATATTACACTTTAAGTGAGATAAATGAATAGTCAGACTCTTTCATCACCCTGTTCATCAGCTATGTGGTGCGATTTCCCTCTTCTATTAAAATCAAAAGACTGAACAACAATAGAAAATACTTTTTCTAATTATTTGACGCTAAGGCTTATTTAGCTACTAATAGGGAACTTGTAGTACCACAGCAGCTCCTTAAATTTGCCGCTGAGTATCACTGATGAGGCCAGAAGCAGAGAATGCCTAAAACAAACTGTAGAGGGGCTTCAGCAAAACAGCCAGAGGCTTAAGATATATTAAATTACCATGATTGGGACTTAAAGCATGGTTAAAGCCCGTTTGAGAGGCTGGGGAGCCTCAAAGCAGTCCCATTCATTGCTGGGGAGTTGGGTCAATAGGTTGGGGAACTTCACAGGACCAGATTTTATTCTTATGCAAACGAGGGGAACAAGACCTAAAGTTCACTGAGTTGGAAGATATAAATGACTGGACAATCATCTGCAGCCCTCCACAGACACAAGCTGGGACCACAGCTGTGTGAGGAAGTACAACTACATCTGAGTTCACTTTAAATATCTCTCTTCCTGTGAAAATGCTGATAAACTATTGGAAAGAGTGAAAGTGTCACCTATCACCCAGATTTTAGTTTAAAATCAGTGTAATGGATGGAAATGTCATAATAAATATAATAAAATGTTTGCTTTCTTCTTGATAGTGTCTTCTAACAAAAACAAACCATGTCCATCTATCTACATGTGCCAACTACTAGAATATCTGAGCAGAATGAATGTATGAATGAATGAACACACACTGAGTGCCATGAGAGGGAACACCTGCAGCCTGCTCCTCATCCTCACGTCAGCTGGGTCTCACACACGCATCACTCACGCATACAGTGCAGCATAAATGTACTGTTACTCTGTGCACAACATGAAAGGAGGAGAACTGAAGGCAGTGCTGTCTGCATTTAAAATGAGGTGTGTTTAAACTTAAGAGTCGGGCATTGCAGGACTTACAAATAAAGAAGTGGACTGCAAATGTGTACAGCGTGGATGTTCCCATTCAGTGGTATCAGGTGGACACCGATGCTTGCTTTCTTTCTTTCTTCCAAGAGGAATGACGCAAACTTCACCAACCATGAAGTCGTGTCGTGGATCGAGGACGGCGCACGTGTCCGACGGGTTGTGTCGGGTCAAGTTGTGTCCCAGGAGAGTAAAGGGTCACGACCCGCTTTCCAGCAGCAGACAAGTTCTCGGGAACTGGGGTCGGGTTGATCTCCAGAAAAGAAGCAACTAGAAGAATGGCAACATGCTGAAGTCTGCCTTACGTTGTCATCAACAGCTGGATCGAATTACATTTATTTGACCTGTTTTACTTTACGATCGAATCAACAGCAGGGGCAGGAAGCTAATTTTAAGCTTGTCGTAGAGTATATATCATGCCATCTTTGTTTCAAATTTGTCATAATTCACCTGTTTTTAAAAAAACTAAACTAAACTAAACTAAAAATAAAATAAATAATCGTCTTTCATTCTTCACCCTCCAAGCGTGGAGCGCTCGTTGCAGTCTGCCTCTGTCCAAGGTGCTGACCGAAACGGCCTTTGTGAAGATTTTGGCTCAGTTTGGGTCAGATTTTAATAATAATGACAGAGCCATCTCATTTCTGTTTTTTTAAATTACATTTTTATTAAATAAATAGGTTTCAGTCACTTTGCTGAGATACAGTTTAAAAGGGTTACTCCAAAAAGATGCATTAATACACTGTCGACGTACAGAAATTTTACATTACACGTTTATTGGGTTAATTTATGAGTAAGTCATTAAAATGACGAAATACAAAGACCTGAATACAATATGATTGTAGTAATAACTTTCAGGGACAAATTTACATTTAAATAAATAAACAAGAAAATAAAAAATTATACACATTTTAGCTTATTTTCTAAAATAAGAAAAAGCATGAATCTTCTGCACAGAGTGTGAGAACATTTTTGTTTTGTTCGCAGAGCAATTTGATTTGTAATCTGCTTGAAGTGAGATCTGTTTGCACAGCTCTGCTGGCATGTGGGGATAGAAAACTTTGAGTCCAGTAGCGGAGACGGGATTCCTCACAGTGACCCCTGATCCTCCACAGCTTGATGACTCTGGTACCATTTTGGTCCTCATCTGAGGGGAAAAAACAGAAAGAAAAAAAAGAGGACAAACGACATCAGCTGTAATTTAATATACAAAAAATAAATTAAATATTTAAAAAAAACCGCTGTATGATTTTTTTTGGTGAACCGCTCTAAACATTTACTTTATTCTTTAACTGGTCGCATCATCTCAGCATATTGGTAACTCCTTTCAAATGAAGTTCAGGCGCGGGCTCGGTGTAGGATCAGACTGAATTCAGCCCTGTGGCCATGCTGCTGCCAGATTCACCAAATTATATATAAAGAGGCTCCTGGACAATTTAATCCCACTGGGAGACATGGTAAAGTCCTTTCTCTGCCAATTTTCACCCTCTCTCTTATTCAAACCTCCTCTTTCTTCCTGCAGCCCCACAATGCAGGATTGTGCTCTTTTTTTATGTTCTCTTATATCTTTTCTCTGTATGGCTGCCACCCCCAAACCCCTCAGACAGCATGCAGTTTATGCAAATGATCAGCCTTTCATGCTCAAAGTTGAATGAGACCTCAACAAAATCTCTCCCTTGTTCTCCCACACACACAGACACACACACACACTGCATGACTGAGTGTAAAAATACGCTCAAGTATCATCTTCAATTTTTGCATTTGAATTACCATTTTTTAAAATCTGAAATTCCTTACTTGATCCCACAGTACACCTGTGTCGTGGGGCAGGCATCTCTCTAGGTGTGGGTAGTATTTTAAAGGAGTATTTTAAATATTGGATGGATGAATTGATGGGTAACAGAGTTAGGATTTGGTTGGGGAGAAAAAGTGGAAGAAGGTTGAGAGGGGTGTGCAGGGAGTGTGTGATGAATGATGATTGTGAAATTCTCAGTGTTCCCAGGGTCTGGGTGGTGTTTGAAAGGCTGGAGGGGGCGGCTGGAGGCTGGAAGGGGGGTGATTGTGCCCAGCTGTTGAGGGGGGTATCCTGAGTCTCTCTCTTCCTCTCCCTCTCTCTCTGTCTCTGACAGGCTGTCTTTTTCACCAGCACATACTCGGGCCATCCAGCCTGCTGCCATAACAACGCCACAGCCTCTGTGTCATAGTAATGCCATGCAGTCAACGCAGAGCATGGGAGCAGGGAGAGGGAGGGAGTCCAGGGGAGGAATGAGAGGAGTGAATGAAGAGTCCAGACGTTCCTACCCCTGTGAACTTGAACTTGACTGACAGCCAAATGACGACTGGCGGGAAGAGAATGCAAAATCCACTCCTGAGAGATTTTGTCCTTTGATATGGTCAAATTACATACTGTGTATGCATTTTAACTCACAAATAGATAAATGTTTAATTGGGAGGAAGACAGGGATTTCATTTTTGTAATGATTATAATATGATTGGTGCATAAATTACATATGAATTGGTCATTTCCAATTATAGTACTACAAGTTGGCCTCTTATAAAATAAAATAAAATAAATAAAATAATGTACACGTTAGAATAAAATAGGGACTCGTGCCTATAAATGAATCCCTTTTACAGTTACATTAATAATAGAGATCTAATATTGGGAGAAAAAATAACACATTATTTATTTAAAACGTTGCTTTTTTCTTCCCTATATTACTACATGTATGAATATGGACATTTTATTATTTAGTTAACATAACAAGCTGAAAAACACATTTTGATTCTGCTAATTATAAAGCTGCGTGCATGTCAGAGATCAGGATCTTCTATGAGGAGCTGCAGCTCTCTAACCTTTTCAGTCTTTTGCTCCCTTAGAGTCAGCGCGGGGTTGATTGCTTGCCTACAGCTGATAAACGACGACTGGTCCACATCAGGGGTCTTAGCTGCTCAGACCCACTCGACCATGGGAAAAAGGCGAGCTGTGAAAGGTCCCCTGTCGCTGTTACAAAGCCAAGAACAAGCCATAGCAGGATAATCGTGTTTATCCCCAGATTAAGACTGGATCGCAGCTGCGGTATCCTTGTGGGAGGAATGGGGGCTGCAGAGATGTAAAAAGGACAATGTCCTGCCTTCAGGAGACCTCATCATCATCCTTACTATACACAGGTACTACACAGGTATTGAGGTATGAGACTTTGACTCATTCGGATCAGGCTCATTCCCCTATTAAAAAAAAGTTCTACTGTGTAAAACTTTGCTCTGGTGAGAGCAAAACACAAATGAAGGTTTCTCTAATGTGAGCCATGAGAATGAAAGCTTCACTCTCACTGCTATCCTTCACTACTCTTCACTTCTCATGCAAGCACAGCTCACCCAGACAGAGCTAACCAGAGTCTAATCTGTGCGTTGTTTTCGAGTATTGAATTTGACACATGGCAACATAAACTGATCAACCAATAAACTGATCATCAAAGCCCTCAAAGACAAACTACATGGGCCAGCTCAGACTGTCTTTCCAGTTGTCCAGTATGTTTCTTCATTTGTATCTCTGTGTCGTCTTCGTTTGCTGTTTTGCTGCCAGTTTATACATTTCTGCAATGAATCGTTGCAATCTTTCCGTTACTGCTAAGATTTTGGGTTTTTGCTGGGATATTTGTAGTGTGTCATGTGCTGCTTGTTAAGGCATGTTAGGCAAGATTTTTCTTAATCGTTCTTTGGAAAATTAAGACTCATGACACATGACCACATTCACAATTCCGTTTGTGATTCGCAATAGTTCAGGCGTAAGACAGTGCATTAATTATATGCTCACAGCATGAAAGTCAGTGTCAGACATAAAGAGGCAGGAAGACAAAAGGACAACTTCTACCAGAGACACTGTTATGGCTGCTGTGCTAATGCAAGCATCTGCCACTGTCTAGTCTTGACTGTTGTTCCCACCACAGGGTTTACTGCAGCAGCCTCTCAAATATACAATGTTGGGAGGGGGACAAAAAAAAAGAAGTGGTGGACCTTTGTGAAATACTCCTTTCACAAAGCAGCCATTGTGGAGAGAAGGCAGGATCAGAATTATAATGTGGAGCCTGGTCACTGTTTACCAACAGGCCAACAGGTCTCCTGCGGCTGCACTGTCCACCACCGACATGCAGACTGCACTGTGTTTGTATGTACATATGCACGGGTGCACATTAAAGCCTTTTGTGTTTATCCATTATACCCCTGAGTGCAGTCAAACAGCACTTTTCCAATAAAATACATTTCAGGAATGACTTTTTTATACGAGAAATATTTTTGAATTCACTATACAGTTATTGTGCAGAATGGCAGCAGGTAAATAATCAAAGATGCAGTCACAATTCCTTCCCCTTCCAGATGTTTAGCTGTTTTCTGGACCCAAAGCACATTAAACCCAGCGTAACCTTACTGTATGAATTTAAAATTTAAACAAAGATCCAGACATAGAAATTAGAGAGCTGAATGCTTCTTGAAAAGCTGATAATGAGGATTTAAAACGTGTGCTGTGTGTTGCTAGTCACGCAGTATTCCAGTGTGTCAGTATTTATAATTACCCAGCTTTGCCCTCACCCCCAACCCTTCCAGTTGAATGTCTAATTACAACATGTAATAAAGGGACAGTTCCCCTTTTACTTGTTCAAGCCACAGCCTCTGGCTATTAAAACCAGTATTTTGGCATGACAGAGAAAAAAAACTACAGAAAAAACTAAGAAGCACATGGAGGACTGCCAGCCAGCAAGAATCTGAAAGACAATTTTTTAAATCTAAAATAATCTAAAATAGCATTTTCTCAGCATCTAGGCACAATAAAAAATTAGCTGAACTTTTATCTAATCTAATTATTATTATTATTATTATTATTATTATTATTATTATTATTATTATTTACTACAACTTCAAAAATATTTAGGACAATAAAACAATCTTTATATTAAATGTAAGCATAAAATTATATTAACGTGTTCAGAATCGCTCTGTCTTTGCATTGCTGGGTGGAGCTCGTAGGTGGTGCTGTGCCTTTAAATGGGCCTACTCGCTTTTACACCCAGTTTTGATGCAATTATGTTAATATGCAGAGCTTGTCTGCGTCCTATTCATTATCTGCTAGAAATGCGTGATTGTTTTCTTTATATTACAGTCAGGGTCTTCATGCATGCCGTGATCCAACAGAGAGCTGTAAGGTGGGTTATTGGGTGCACGGTTTATTTTCCTTTAAAAAAAAATAAATAAAAGGAAAATATATTTTCTAAGTACTACATAAAAAAAATCTAATTGCCAAGACTGATTTCCTTTTTTCATGGTCTAACTATTAAATCTTATGTAGGTCACCGGACGCAGTTCAGCCCACTGACAGACCTCGACTTAAACCTGGGCCTGACGTTAATCTCTTTCCGTTCATCAGCATCACGGCAGGAAACGGAAGGCTGGAGGAAGCATTTAAACATGTTTGAATACAGCGAGTTAGAAGAAGGAAGGTTTAAAAATAAAAAGGTTTAAAGGTGGAGGAAAAAACGAAACGTGTATGTCGAAAAAGGATGTAAGTGTAAATGCATATTAACCCCTCAGCTTCAGCTGTATCCTTTATTTTTTTTTTAGTAAAAGGGGGCAAAGGTTAATTTAAAAACTTGATTCCTTTACAAATAATCATTCTTTTTGAAATAACAAAAACTTAAATCAGTGTTTCGTTTTCCAGGTCACAACTGCATGTTTTTGTCTTTTACACCAAAAATAATTAAACAAGCAAACAAAAACAAAAAAACCCATAATAATTAATGCATCCGTTATTAATGGTCTAAAGGAGTTTTACCAAAACAAGACGTTTGCCATACCTGGCGTTTTGGTTTCTAAATGTCATTAAGCAGCTGATCTCTATTTGAATTTAAAATGATTACTATTGAGCTAAAAAAAAAAAAAAAAAAAAGAGGAAATATAAGCTAACATTCTACATTTTTACTTTCATTTAAAAAATATTATTTATAGTTTACTTGTATTTTTTTTGTATTTTAAGTGAATGATTTGTTTTTAAAGGAGGCCTAACAAATAAACTCAATACTGAAAAAAAGGAAATTACAAATAAATTCTATATATTTCATTTCAAACTTTTTTTTGCTGTCTAGCTTTTATGGGAAAAGAATTAGGCATAAACAGGTAACAGGTAGTCACTCTAAACTGCTTCAATAACCTTAAAATGTCAAAAGTTTAGAAAATGTTGCACACAATAACACGGTGCTGTTACTTACATTGAGGTTTTAGCTTTTGAGAAGCATTTTTCTCCTTTGTGTTTTGCTTCGGTAAACTTGGGACAATTGTAGGAATTTTTACTTGTTTTACTTGTTTCACCACCTGCAGAGTCACAGAGATGCAGGTTCCCTCTCAGCTTTAATATAATCAAATGTCATGAGGTTTTTTTTCAGCCACTGACTCAATGACTTTCTCCCGCTCTGTTCAATTACAGCAGCAGTTAGAAGTGCAGTGACTCACAGAACGACCTTCAAAAGGCCACAGAAACGTGACCTCAGTGATTTGCTACATCTCTGTTAAGTGAGAGCACACCGGAGGTGACAGTTAAGACAGGAAGGCATAAAGACGGCAGTGATTTGTATCTGACGGACGGCTGATGATGGACCACATTAATGCGGCTATACTTTCTGCTACACATCCATTTGAAACGCAGCATTGAACCTCCGTCTAGATGACTCCCAAAATACAAACATCCCCACGTACTTAAATTTGAGAAGGAGGCCTCTCATTTAGAGGACAATGAAATCCCTTTATTATAACCGTGCTTTTAAAAATATAACCTTTTGACACAAATACATGGGTGCTAATCCTTGGAAAGACATAATCTAACACTTGTGATTTCTCTCCTGGATCTTAACTGTTCTGACCAATTTAAGGAATCTGGGAATTTATTGTTGGTTTATACTGTGATAAGTAAAATACACAGTCTGCTGAACAGAGTCAAGGCAAAATAATATCAATTTTCTAATTTTTAAAGCTAAACTGCATTCAGCTTTAAAAATGAAAACATTTAAATGTAATAGCATTTTTTTCAAGACAAAAAGCACGACTTGTATCTCAACAGTCTCATTATGCTTACTAAAGGTTTTAATCACAGTAACATAAACATTAACATGAGGTAAAAATAGTGTTTTAAATTTGACAACGTGAGGCCAAATTCTTCTGTTATACAAAGAAATGTCATCAGTGTGTTTCTAAAGGAAGTCTGTGGTAGGAAAAATCATTCATTCATGTACAACAAAGGCCCCTTGTAAATTCTTTCTACTTTCAGAAATATTTAAGTGACCCCGCGAGCTTATTATTCCCGGATCACTTCATTAAAGCAACCTTCAGAAAAGTTCAGTGTTAGAATTTATTAGAAGAAATGCTTTAATTTCTGGGATTCTGTGTATTTGATCATGAGGCTGATAACTGTTGTGGACAGGTGCAGCAAAAACACCTTATTTTGAAAAAAGCTTTTTCAGTTTACTGATAAAATATTTACCCAACATTTTCACAACCATTTTCTAAAACCCAAGACAATGTGTTCATTGTGCCAGTCTTTTTCTCACAAATAGGAAGGAAGAGGCACTTTTGATTGAAGAATAGTCAATAAGTAAAACCTTACTGTATGCATTTTCATAAAGAATCTGTGTATTATTAAACCTAATACACACACATAACCTACCTGAAAAGACAACATGTCCTCCTTTTGGAGTTTTCTTTCTTTTCTTCTTCTTTTTTTCTTAATCTCATAAACAAGAGGCTGAGGATTTGGAGGTCATTCCTACTTTCGGTTATCTAGCTTTATGATGCATGATTATCACTCATACAGCTAGATAACCAAAGACAGGAACAGGCTCCGTCATTAGCGACAACAGCAAAAGGTAAGTCCGAGGCTTTCTGGGAACAAAGAAAATGATTTGGTATTTATGCAAGTTTAGTTTCAGGTTTCACTTCAACACCATTGAATGATGATTTCTGTTTTTGTTTTTAATGTTTTTAAATCAGATATGTCAATCCCAAATCTCCATAACTTCCCCAAAACTAATTAAACCATTTTAATATCTCACCGGTCTGTCAGTCACCGAGATGATGATACTCCAATTCTAGAGCCTAAGCACCAAAATACACATGAAAAATAGATGTGGGGTGACAAACTGCACAGTAGCTGTTCCTGTTGTGCTTTAAGGTGCAACTTCACAGCTGTGTAGCCTGTGTGACTGTTTGTGGATTCTGTGCTCCTTCTCACACTTTGCAAACAAACCCAGATCATCAGAATTCATCAAACTCCACTGCTTTAATGTTTCATTAAAGCCCATCTTCCACAGCAACACCTTAGGAATCTATCAAACATGTATGCTAAACATTATTATTATTATTATTAGTAGTAGTAGTAGTAGTAGTATCTGCCTTTCGGTTATTTTTACAGCTATATATGATGAGTATTGTTATTATAGGTATTCTAATGGTGCCACTACATCTTTGGTCACAATGCAAGAGCACCCTGTCATATATTTATATCTATTTCAAAATTATTTTGCTAAATATTTGACTCAAATCAACCTCGTGATGACCTCACGTTTTTCCCCTGTACGTCTGACGTCAATATTTTTAATTGGGAAATAGATGCACCGACAAGACGTGCGTCATTTTCTAACGCACACAAATACTAACACTTGTATATATGTGTATATAATTTAAAATATTAAAAAGGCAATAGCAGGTTTCATAGTGTGGTTTTTTTTGGGGGGGGGGTTCATAAATTAAAAAATATATATCACTGTATGAGTCAAATTGCCTTCAGTGGCCTGGACGGTGTGTGAAAGGCTTCTGGTTGAAGAGTGCAGGCCTGCATAAACACTGCTTCTCTGTCACAACTAATGTTTTGCCCTTGTTATATGAGTTAAGGCACAGGTAACTGGGTTACTCATGTACCATTTTAATGTTGTTCTCTTGCAAACTAGTTATAGAAGCCAGTACACATCGTTATCTATTGGTCATGGGTTTGACGGTGAACTTGAGCATGTCACGTTAAATAAACGCCGACAATATAACCATAAATGTGTCAAATGTCAAGTCTGCGCCCTCAGATCGAGGCGCATTTGTTGAAGGTGGAATGATCTGTGGAAACTAGTCAAGCCTACCCTAACCACAATACTCACTTCTTGAGATGCCTCCTGCGTTCGTGGAGACCAAAACATCCACATGTGGCAAAGAGGGGCGGCCAGCGTCGCATCATCCGGGCTCCAGATGTTTAGAACATGGAAATGAGTTTCTGTACAGCCTCGCTTCGACAAACAGGTGAGCGCGTGGATCAGATCGATAAATCCCACGCCATCTGCCGAGCCTGCGCAGACGGCTGTGGATGAGACATCCTCGTCGTGCCGTGTGCTTGTATCCGAGATCAGGACGTTCCCGGGTCAGTGCCGTGATCTCCGTGGGACCGACAGAGGAGCGACACGCTTTTCATCAACCGCGTCCAAAAGCGCGCATCATCAGTCCGCGGTCCTGAAGCTGCGACGTGTCCCCTGACAGACACTTCAGTGCTCTCATCTCGCCTCCTCTCTTTTTTTCTCAATACTTCCTCCTCCTTTTGCTGACGTCACGCGGACAGCAAGTTGCCGATAACCAATCGCAAACTCTCTCTCTGTGCGTGTGCGTGTTTTTGGAGAACTCACGAAGACATCACGTCGCCGTTGCGCTCTTTTAACTGTGGAAGTGGAAACCGAACCAGCAAAACAAAACTTAAAAAAGAAGAAAAAGAAGCAGAGAGCACGTTGTTGCTGGCTAAAGTAAAAAAAAAAAAGAGTAGTTACAATGTTTTGTTATTATTATTACATAAGTTTAGTTTTCTTATCTCGTTCAGCTTGTTGTAGCCATATCGCTCCTGGGTGGTGTCGGTGTTGTTAGTCATCTATTATTGTTATTTTTTTTAAAGATGTGTTAGTAAAACAGGAAATCATCTGTGACACGTTTGAAGCCGGTGTTGGCACATGCTTTTCTTTTTTCTTTTCCCTATATTATCAACGGCTCCCCACTAATTAAAACCATCATACAGATCTAGTCAGTTTCTGACTTTAACGCCACCCAGCGGTAGCAAAATCAACTACAACGCTGTGGCAGACAAGCAATACCCCACGTCCATCATGTGATCTCTTACTCTCTTACTTACTTTTACTTACTTTTCCACTGCTTTTCAAAGGTGGGAAAAGGAAACACGTATTGTTTTCTTATCGCGTCACAAAAATACAAAAATGTAACACAAACTCATTCGGACCAACTCACATTTTCAGCTGAATATTTTTATTTATTTACTTATTTTTATGAGAAGAGGACACAAAATCCCCCCAGCTTTTCCTCAGATACACACCTTTTTGCTAATGGTGTCCTGAAACAAGGTTATTTATTTATTTATTTATTTATTTTTATTTTTTTTCCATATATAATATAGTTATTTTCAAGCCACCCCACTTGCCCCTTCTCTATCATGCCTGTTTTTGAAATTAGAATGAGTAAGAATCTGATGTTTGATTAAATATTTGAATTTGAATTATTAATAATTAGATGTAGATCAGATTTTCCATCAGATTTTCCGTTGGGCTCTTTTCCATTGATTGATTACTTGTTCCTTTTGGACTTGTGAAAGTCAGCAACACAACACAACACAAACACATACATGCTAATGTGTTTTTTCTTTTTGCTCTCTCTCAGAAGTCAATGACTTTACGAAGAACCAAAGTTTCTGAGCCCAGAGGGGAAAACAGTCCACAGAGATGAGACTTGAAAAAGTACAGAGATGTTCAGTCCACATTTCAGATTTGAGGTTATACTGCCTTCTAGTGTCCATCCAAACTCTCATGTCCCAGATAGTCTCCATTATCTTTCATGTGTTCCTCTGTATCTAACAGAAGAGAGAAAAAGATTGTGTTCATTAAAAAGTGTAGAGAAAGAGAGAAATGGGAGAATATTGTGAATGACAATATTTAACCACTGCCCTAAAGTGTGGTACCTTTTCTCTTACAGGTGGGATTTGGCACCTGAAGACACAGATCTTCAGACTTTTGTATTTAAGAGTAATTTTTCATTGTGAACAGATGTGCACTTTTAGGCTGTGTATAATAATAATAATGCAGTGTAATGCATCTTTGAAAACCATGAAGCAAAGTTTTCCCTGGAATCTGGCTTCTTTGTCCTCAGCAAATTATGCTAATTAAAACATAAAATGATTTTTCTTCTCTTATCAACATCAGCTTTGCTAAGATTCATCCATTAATTTAACATTCAGAACATGCAAACGTCACTCCAAAATGATTGTTTTACAAGTCCTTAAAGTACAGCTACACATATTCAATGTAATTTAGTTTAATTACTAAAAATTCATTTAAAAAAGCCCCATCAGTGTGCTTTATACTGCAAGGTCGAGATTTACAAGATTAGAGATAAATCTCAAACAATTAGACAATCCAGTATCTGCGAGCAGCCAATGCATTTTAAATTCATTTCTGGATTCAACACAGAAGTGAAGCTGATATACAACAAATATGTTGCAGGAGTGTTTAGAACAAATGGGATCAGTGACATTCAAGCCTAGAAGTTAAAAATACACAAACAAGTTTTTCTGCTTTACTGGTGATGGGACGTTTCTAATTTTAGGTATGCTGCACAGATGAAAGAATGTAGTTCTACTTTTTTGTTTAATGCACACCTTGAAGGACATGCTCTGGTCAAAAATGACTAAGATTCTTCATAATGCTACTGGAGAGCAGATACTGCATCTAAGTAAGACATATTTCTGAGACTTCTAGGTCAAAATATAAAAACCTCAGCTTTATCAGAATTTAGAAGTAAAAAAAATCACACATCACTGTATTTCCTAAGGGAAGCATCTATAATATAAAAAGCATGAGTCCCAGAACACAACTCTGTGGAACTCCATTACTTGTGCTGCAAATTTTTTCTTTAATCGTTCTTTAATAATAGTTCCTGTCTCTATAGTAATTGATGTAGTCAGTGTTATCAAATGTTTCACCTGTCAGAGGCTATAGGAGGATCAGTGATAACCTTCAGTAGTGCTGTTTCTGTGTTGTGATGGACTCTAAATCCTGACTGAAACTTAAAATGCAACATTTCTCTGAGGTAATTTATTCAAGGTTTGACATCTGTGGACTTGAATTCAGTACAAAAGAAAATAAGAAACATGAGCATAGAAGGCAAAAACCTTTTAATATAAAATATTCAAGAAAGTCAAAAGACTACATCATCAGAGAAAGACAGAATCTCGTTTTGTAGGGATGAAATGAGCCATATTGTTAGACCACATACCTACCATCTGTATGACATGAAAAACTTAGTGGAAAGTGCTTTGTATCAAAATCAGTGGGTGTTCATTATTTAAAGTACAAAATTCACATAAAAAAAGCTAAAAGACTGACAAAGCAATAAAACCTTTCAGCGACCACAGAGCAAAAATACATGCGAATTACATGTTACATTTACTTTCAGACAGGATTCTTTCGCACATCTATTAATGCATTGTTTGAGGTCAGTGGTCCAATGTTGAGGCTGGAGCGACGGGACTCCCGGCGAGATTTAACCACAGGCAGGGATGTTGGCCCACTCCAACACCCCACAGCAGTTTGACCTACACGTTTAACAGGGCCATCACTGGCCACCTGAAGCCACAGCTCCTCCATGATGGCAGGTTCCTCCGTTGGGAGAGAAGAGCGCCTCCACGTGGACGGGAGAGGGGTGTTCACCAGCTCCCGCATTTCCTCCCTAGACTTGGAAGGTCTGTCCAGCTGCCCTGCCCCACTGCCTCCTGAGCTGTCTTCGGGGCAACGGGGAAGCTTTTCCATGCTGCCAGCGTTCGCAGGTTTACCATCAGATGGCACGACTGAAAGACAGTATGTTATAAGGATATTTACTAATGCAGGAATACATTATTTTTAACGGTGAAAATCACTAAATTCGACTGGAAAACTCCAAAAGTTACAAAACAGAAGGAAAATTTGAACTAAAGGCATCTTGTTCCTAGTCCCGCAGAATGACATCGCAATCACACACTAAAAATAAACACTTTTGCACCTTTAGGATGCTCTTTTGGCTGCGTGGATGACCCACAGAGTTCCCTCAGTTTGCTGTTTAGTTCCACATTAGCCGCTTTGTAATGGTTCAGTTCCCTGCTGAGGTTGAGGATCCATCCCTCATACTGCCGCTGCCGCCCTAACAGACCCTCGTCCATTTGTTCTGTTGGGATGATAAAACGTACACAGTATATTAATGGAAACACCATCTGCCACTTTAACTTATACTCTACCTTTGAGCCTTACATATGTTCAGTGTGTGAGACTTAGTCTGCAGTATAGCGTGACTGGTTTATGTTAGTCTCACCTCGACACTGCTGCAGTAAGAGCTGCACACTCCTCTCATGTTCCTTCTGCTGTTGTGTAAGCCGGCGATCTGTGTCGAGTTGTGTGCGATCGAGTGCATTTTCCAGCCACTGCACCAGCCTCTGCTGCTCATCTAGTTGCATTTCCAGCTCAGCTAGGGCAAGTTGCAGCTTACGCTCTTCTTCACGCAGAGATACCACCTGCAGGAAATGTGCACACAAACACTCATAAGCCTACAACTGGTGAGTCCAGACGCAGTCCAGAGTCACATGTGCAAGGTGCACCTGCTCAAATGGTTGTTAACATAAATATATCTAAACATGGCAGCAACTCCAAGCATTGTGCATGTAGATATGGCCAAGACAACTTGCAGAAGTTCAAACTGAGCATCAGAAAAAAGGTGGGGGGGAAATGGTGATTTAAGTGACCTTGAATGGCTGTTGGTGGCAGCTGGGCTGGACTGAATGTTGCTGCTGATCTACACAACCAATTTTAGAGTTTACAGAAAATGGTCAGAAAAAGAATATATCCAGGGAGCGACAGTTCTCTGGATGAAAACACCTTGTGGATGTTGGTAAATGACCAGATTGTTTCAAGCTTATAGGAAGGAAGAGTGACTCAAAAAACCACTCATTACAATCAAGTTATGGGTACATACTGAACCCTGAAGCAGCCTGGGTGCCACTCCTCTCAGTGAACAACAGGAAACTGAGACTGCAATAAACACGGCTCACCAAAACTGGACAATAGATGACTGGAAAAACATTGCCTGGTGATGAGTCTTGATTTCTGCTGTCACATTAGGTAGGGTCAGATTTGACATAAACATCAGGAAAACATGGATCCATCCTGTCTTGTATCAACGGTTCAGGCTGGTGGTGGATGGTGCTGTAACGGTGTTACTAACCAACCCCTTTATGACCACAGTGTGCCCATCTTCTGATGGTTGCTTCCAGAAGGATGACACTCCATGTCACAAAATTCAAATCATCTCAAACTGCTTACTTGGACATGACAGTGAGTTCACAGTACTCAAATAGCCCCCACAGTCAACAGAGCACCTTTGGGATGTAGACACTCACAGATGTGGTGTGACCTGTGATGCTATCATGTCAATATGGACCAAAATCTTAGAGGAATGTTTCCAGCACCTTGTTGAAGAATTAACGCATTTCTGAAGGTAAAAAGGGGC